GTTTGCTCACAAAATTCAGTGGATCTTTATCTCTGGGAATCCTAAGTTCCTGGGTTGAGGTTGTATCCTTGCAGAAACTGTGTGTCCCAAGGTTACCATCAGCCCGAAGACCATTTTTTAATGTTAGTCAGTTCTTACCAGGCAGTACAGTGAAACTCAAAGCTTGAACCCACTTGACCCCAAATTCTTAGGTAAGGTCCGAGCCCCTGTTATCCCAAGGCCAGGCGCAAGGCAAGCTTTCTTGACATCTTTTGCTGGCATGTTAATTTTTTCTAGTTCACTCTTCTGCTGAAGATGTAAGCCCCTCCAGGGATCTCACTTCCAACCTCCCACCTTATTATTTATTTTTTTTTAAGTAAGCTCTACGCCCCCCGTGGAGCTCGAACTCACAACCCGAAGATCAAGAGTCACATGTTCTACTGACTGAGCCAGCCAGGCGCCCCCAACCTCTAACCTCTTATATAGGTTCAAGGTTTTATCTTTTCTATCCTTAGAGTAATTAAATTTAGGCCCTTTGTTTCCTACCTCCCTGCTCCCCAGGGCAGGGAAAGTGAGCACCATCTCAGCACTCTGATGTTCAGTGACTGTTCTCTCCCTCTCTTGTTCCTGTATGTATTTAAGAGGAAACTGGTTATAGTCTATCTAGCATTTCTAAAGGGAAGTTTTCTTTTCCCTGTTCTAGGAGAGAATTTTCAGATTATCTAACTGACTACACAGATAGAAACAGAAGTCTGGGTAAGTAATTGAGCTTCTCTAAACCTGTTTTCTCATTTGTAAAATGAGATAGGGGACTGTTGAGAAAAGAAAAAGAAAAAATATATGCTAAGCACTTAGCCCTTTGACTAGTAAACAGAGGGTACTCAATAAATGGTAACTATGAAATTAGTTTTACTGGAAGCCTTAAATTTTATAATCAGCCATTGGAATAAACAAATTCAATCTGACAGAGTGGGTTTTTATTGTGTTTTGGCTTAAAGAATACTGAATATTTACTGGTCTCCCAAGCAACTGCAGACCAATGCTCATAACCCATACCATAAATTAAAGTATGCTATTAACATGATCCAAATCTATTAATTAGAGCACATTTTATAGGGGTCTGATTTGCCAATTCTGTTTATTTTGCAGTTTTGAATAAAAATGGAATATTTGGGGAAAACTCCCCAAGTTGGTAATTCAGACAAGTGTTCTCTTTTGAATTTAAAGTAACTAACTAGAATGTTTGGGGCTATAAGCTCTCAGAAGGCAAGAGCTATTCAATTTGCTTAGAATAATACCCACTATTCTAAGGAAACTGAGTATCAATTAAGTAAAAACGATCTCCCAAACATGATACTTTGATAGAGTAAAAAAACAAAATCAAGAAGACTTGAGTCTGATACATAATTGTGCTGCTTGACCTGGGGCGAATCCCTTAGTGACTACGAACCTGTTTGTTTCCTCATCTCTACAGAAATCTGCCCTTTCTATGTCAGAGTGGCTAGGAGGAGCAAATGAGGCAGGGCAGCCATTGTGAAAGCCACGTGAAAGTCCCTTTTGTACTGTAATGTACTGTAATTCTATAAAGCATTATTAAAGTATGTTAGAAGTATATAACATCCCAAGTCCGTTCATGGGCATCACTATCATATAGAGAAATGCAGAGAGGTAAATTTCTCCTTGTCTGGTCCCATGAATTACTTCTGTAATCACTTTCAAGCAGGGCCCTGTGTGGGACAGATGTCTAAATTCATTCTACCCAAGCCAGCTGAAATAGCTTACTGTGTTTTGGGGTCATTCTGTGGTCTGTTTGGTCATCCAAGTACCCTTAGAATGCAGCACAGGGTAAGTCCACAAGGGTGGAGAAAAAATTTAGAGGGGAAAACAATGTATGCTGCAGTTTTTGCATTGTGTTTATCCGTATGAATGAGAAACAGCATTACACAAAGAACCCCTACAAAGAAAGAGCTGAGGTAATTGCCTCATGACATTAGTAAATGATTTCAGCACATAAAGGGAACTGGATGGCAGTAATTCAAGCAGTCTAAAAGACTCTGAAAAAGGCCACAGGCACTAAAAGAACCGTAGTTTGCTACCAACATGGAGAATTTAAATTTTCCAGTCCATAAGACAGAAATCAGTGTACATATCAATAAGCAAATTTTAGGTTGACTGCTATTTTATTATTTGTGAATGATAGATGAACAAAGGCCAATTATTTCCCATGCTAACTATTTATCGTATTTTCCATTCCATATAATACTATGAATAAGGCCAAGATTTATGGCATATTCTACTTGCTAAATCCTTTTATTAAATCCTTCCCAAAATAGCTCTAAAATTTCATCGGTTCAGCAATTCCAACAGTTATATGTTGGATGCCTCCCAAAGAAGCCCGGTGGCTCATGCACTCTCGCAGGGATCCCAGGTACTGGGCTCCCACAGGACAGCACGTTCACAGTGCGCGCCTTACAGCAAACCCACTTTGTGGGGTGTGGCGTGACTGCTCGCACAGCGCACAAAGGGCAACACGACTAAATTACTATGAAATCTGAGGCTGGTTTTGCTCTGCAAGCGTAGTACAACTTTTCTAGAAAGAGTGCCACGGCAACGTCATTTTTATAGTTGCCCAGAACTTCCTCTTTAAAAAAAAACACAAAAAAACCCACCCATCACCAGCAACAATCCTCTTCCACCTCCCCAACCCTGAGGGCAGCCTCAGCATTCTTCTGAACTTCAGTGTTTCAGGGGCTATCAGAGGAAATACGTGAGATAAACCCTACCTGCCATCCCTGGGTTAGAGGGAGCCAGTGACATCGGATTAGATTGCAATAGGAACAGGAGACAGCCAAGTGTCTCAGCAGTGGCTCTCAGAAGCTTGGAGAGAATGAAATCTGAATCCTAACATGGGGACAGCAAATTCCATTCCCTAAAATGAAAAGTACTGATGGAGGCCTTATGGTACAGTTCTTCCACACCACATCACGCTAGACACTGGCATGTGCGTAACTGCAGAATGAGAGCATCAAGATCTATCTCCATGTGGGGGCCATGTGAGAAATCACTCTGTAGGGTGCGCTCAACATTTCTTCATGATGGGAGAATTCCTCTTCTGTTTGACAACGTTCATGTTCCTGACAGTACAGTAAGGCTTCTCATATGTTATTCAGAGATCCCTGGATCTGGAGATAAATGGATGGGAAACCTTTTTATTACTCTGCTCTGCTGAATAAAGGTCTTAGGAGAGAGGACCATATCTTTATAATCATGAAATTATCAAGACACATAAGGTGATCAGGAAAGTTATGCCACATCTTTAAGGCTATAGACAGAGTAGAACATTAGTGTTTAGAGATCCAGAAGACTGTAGTGAATTCCAAAGGACTGGTCTCATTCAGCAATGAATAGCCATGACTTGTTTCTGGAGTTGGTAAATTCCCCTCAGGCAGTGACTTTTGTAAGGGGATAAAAAAGGTTTCCATTCCTTCTGAGCATTCTCAAGATCCTTTGCTGCACTCTCACATTTAACCCGAGGCCATGAGAGCAGACTATTTACTCTGAAACTGCATTTCTTTAATACAGCTATGGAGAGGATTGTTTCTAAGAACTGCGCGTCATGTTGCTCCCTACCCTTTGCCATTTATTACAATTGAACTCTCAGCCGCGCTGCAGCAGAATCTGCCAACAAGGAATAGCTACTAAACTGAGAGCGCCCTTTGTCCACCAGGACCCACTGGTGCTATACCAATGTGGAAGGGAAACGATCCAAGATTTTGAATGAGTGGGCTGGAAGTATGCACCATTACAGACACAAAATGTCTTATTGTGAAGGTCTGCTAGAGGTATCCTGTGTTACAGTTTGAGAAACACTTGAAGCCACAAAGCTATTTCTCTTTCAAACATATTGACACCACAGATGTAAAGAAAAAAAAGCACACACAGTTAATGAGCCCTCAGCACACCCAAATGCTCTGAGAAGTTAGCCAAAACCTAGGAGAAAACTATTAATATGAACCCAGACCAGGGAACAGGATCAGTGTAAATAGCTCAACTTGAGAGCTGTGAATCAAAGTCAATCACGACAATGTAACCTTCTCCCCAAAGATATGGTAAGTCCTTTAGACCAAAGCTACAGGGAAAAAATGTTTCCCTAAAGATTTCATAACCAGTAAGAGGACAGTAGACAGATACTACATTGAGGCTCTGAAATAGATTTATTATGTTTAGTCTCAGAGGCCTACATGGAGATCTTGTCTGGGATTTCACTTAAAAATTTTAAGGTTTTTAGGAACTTTGGGAAAGATTCTAAAGAGACAAGACAACTTAAAGTTGTTCCAGTTGTTTCTCAAATAGGAAGTTAAAACTCCTAAATTTACTTTAGCAGGGTTATAGATTCCAAGTCTGGGGAATGAGAATGGGGTGGAGACACTTAGTTCTGGCTGATCTCATGAACCCATTATAAAAAGTGGGTTCTTAAAAATATATAAACGTATATAAAATATATTAACACATACACAAACACATTTACATATGTTTTTCAGATCAATTAAAACTTTGCATGACTGCTCTCACATTGTCTTTAATGACACATAAAATTTTGTCCCAAGTGCACTTATCTGTAGAGACAAAGCATCTGATATAGGAGTACAATTTGTTAAAGAAATGTATGACTATGGGTCATATTTTAGATGTCAACGAAAATAGCTATTAAACCACAGAAGGATTTTTTTAGGCCCTAAGCTTTGGCCTGTGTTTATTTATGACTACATGAGTTCGGGGGTTACATTAAGGAAATGCCAGAAATTCAGAAGGACATTAAAAAAAAAATAGCTTTACTCTTAAGACCTCTTTTTGTATGTCATTTACAATGTAACTATCGACACCTGCCACCTTCAGTGTGTACTCTTATACACCTGGGATGATGAGGCGAGTTCCAGCTCCTACCTCAGAAAGGAAAAAGCCGAGCTTATTTCAGGAACATCAAAGGAGTAACTGTCCGAGAGAGGTTCTGATAGACCTACCAGGAGGTGTGCAGGCATCTGCAGGAGACTGGACGAATGTGGACCGCCTTTTGGTTGGCATGGGCAGAGCCATTTTCTGTTCTTTATGCTTTGCCAGTGCGGCTTGAACTGCTTCTGTATGGATATCTGAAAGATTAAACATTTGCATTTATTAGCTCCTGGTTCTTAAAGTGTTTACTTCTGTGAGCTGAACTATCACTGCCTCAGTTGTTGAAAAAGGGATGTTTAGGTGATTTTTACTTATACTTTGTGTTGTAACAATTAAAAATAAAAATGAAAGAGAGGAGACAAAAGAAGAAGTCAAGGATAGTTTTACAAAGAAGGAAAAAGAAACCCAGAATGATTATGTGACTGCTTCAGACACTGAACAAGATGGGGGGGCAGGGGTGGGGAGAGGGTAAGGCGTCTAACACGCACCCGTGCCAGGCAGGGAATCCCATCGCTGAATGGAATGAGTGTTGTGCAGGTGCCTGGAGGACACTCACTATTCTTCAGGAAAAGACGCTTATGATCTACTTAACTATCTGAAAGGGGTTGAGACACGTCAGTTCTACACCACAGAAACAGAAGGGCTGATTCTGATCTAGAAAAAATATAAGGGCTGATGGTACTTGTTTGCCACTTTGGCCACAAGAGAATTCAGTTCTCCCCTTGAAGTCTAAATGGAGTCTCAAAATTAACATATCCAGACAGAACTTGAGATTCTCCACTCCCACCATAAAATGCCCTCTACATTTCTGCAAAATCCTATGAAGGTAGATAATAACTGAAGTAGCTTTCTAGTTCACAAGAATTTCATCCTCTCAGGAATGGGCCCAGTCAGGGGACATGCAAACTATCCTTAGAAGCTGTCTATGCTATGTAAAGGTGCCCCTTATAAGAGGTGGACCAATCAGATCCTTTTATTAGGGTAGGGGGAATTTAAACTGAATCAAGAAAACACAGGTCTTAGAACTGAGTCACTTTAAAGATAATGCCCTACAAAGAAGGAAAGTTCTTGAACTTCAGGGTTGAGACCCCCAAAGCTGTCTCTCCTTTTCTAGGGATTTCTCAACTGTTCTCTGCTTCTATGACTTACCCCAGCTATTTAAGGTAACCCAAGCTAGCCTGTTTCATGCAACAACAACAAAAAAACCTTCGCTAATATAACCAGAAATATCTTTGTGTGTAAATATAGACTTACAACATTATTTTAAAGGGCTGCATAGAATTTCACTATATGTCTATGCCATAATTTATTTAAGCAACTTTGTTTCCAAAGTTTTGCTACTATTCATAGCAACTATTCACAGCAAGAATAATTCAGTATTTTCACCTTAGTACACGTCTAATCCTATTTCTGTAGGATTAATTCCAAAAACTGCTGAGATGTATTTCCTAAGAACAAGGATTTTACCCTTATATAACCACAGTACATTTATCAAAATGCAAAAATTAAAAATTGATACAAACTATTATGTAACCCACAACCTATATTCCAACTTAGCCTACTATCTCTCAATAATGTCCTTTATAGTTTTTCCTCCTTTGTTCCTGATCTGAGACCTAATATAGAATCACACATTACATTTACTTGTCACATCTATTATCCTATAATCTGGAACAATTTCCCAACCTTTGTCTTTTATTACCTTGACATTATTGTACAGACTAATTATATTGTACAATGTCCCTTAATTTTGGCTTATTGATATCCTTCATAATTAGATCCCTCATATTCCTGCATTTTGGAAGGAATACCACAGAAGTAATGTCTTCTTGAAACATTATGTCAGGAAGCATCTGCCCCATTACTGGTGATAGTAGCTTTGATTACTTGGTTAAGATGGTGTCTACTAAAGTAATCCATTGCAAAGTTACTATTCTTCCCTTTATGTAATTAATAAATTATTTATGGGTGAATGCTTTTGAGATGATGTAACTTACATATTTCATTAAACTTTCACCTATTAGTTTCAGAATCCATTGATAATTCTTGGCTGAATCAATCATTATTATAATGGCTACAAAATGTTGATTTTATTTTTTAAAGATTTTTTAAATTATTTATTTGAGAGAGAGATAGAGATAGTGAGAGAGAGCGCGAGCAAGGAGGAAAGAGAGAAGCAGGCTTCCCACTGAGCAGGGAGCCTGGACTTGGGGCTCCATCCCAGGGATCATGACCTGAGCCGAAGGCAGATGCTTAACTGACTGAGCCACCCAGGTGCCCCCAAAATATTGATTTTATAACTCCATCATTACTTCTGTATTTATTAGTTGGTTTTCCTATTATAAGAAGAAGCATCCCTTTCTCCCCCAATTTATTTATATCAATACAGACCTATCGATTCTCATTTTATTCCATGGCTACTGTTACTATCATTACTTATTTTGATGGTCCTATTACCCCAAATTTGACCAATTAGGCCAAATCAAACTGGCTCTTACGTCCTTTAGACGTATTCCCATCATTTTGAGCAGTAGCAGTTTTCTGGTCTAAGATATTCCAGGTATGTTCCCTGTTCCAGCACTAGAATTAGACATTTCTCTAAGGAGCCTTGGCTCCTCTTAGTGGAGAATGGTATTTAGAAACCAAGATCTTAAAAGTAGGAGTGCTCAGTGCAATTGGGGTATCTTTCTTCTAAGCCCTTTCATTGGATAAAGGAATATAAATGTGAAAATATTCACACACATATATCTACATCAATATTAAAAACCATAAATTCATATTAATAACTCTAATTCCATTTCAACACCACAGAATTCATTCAACCTTCCCCTTTTCCACTTGTAACTCCCTTCTCTAACAGTAAAAAACCTGGTTCACAAAATCCTCAATATATTTTATTCATTCACTCAATCGTACAATACACAAAGTAGTTTCAAAATTACTATCCCATATTACTATGAAAAATAAGTCTAAGTAGAGGTTCAGTATTTGTTTGTATTTCTTTTTGTCTTTACACTGAGTCAAAGTACTGTGTTCAAAAGCTATTTGGAATAGTTCTCACCCCTTCCCCTTTGGTGGTTATATTATTCCACTGGGTAATATAGCTAAGTTAATTTGTTTTTCATATTCCATAGGTCCCTCTCAATGTTGCAGATTAAACATTATGTGACATAATAAGAAATATACAGTTGGTCTCTGCCCCATTTCCTGACACTGAGCTCTTAAAACCCTTGTAATTTCCTGGGTGACAGGAGTGTCTTCTGTTCGAATTAGGCAACTCTTGGTAGCGTCCTTGACAGCCTCAGGATTGGGGCTGGTCACCAGGAAGACCAAGCCATGATTAGAAACTTGGAACTTTCAGTCCCATCCTTCATCCTCTTGGGAGGGGAGAGGGGTTGAGGATGGAGCTAAACACCAATGGCCAATGCCTACATAATGGAACCTTCATATAAACCCTAAACAAAGAGTCTGGAAATGTAAATCAAAACTACAATGAGATCTCATCTTAAACCTGTCAGAATGGCTACAATGAAAAAGACAATAACAAGTGTTGTGAAGATGTGGAGAAAAAGGAACCCTGGTACACTGTCAATGGGAATGTAAAGTGGTGCAGCCACTGTGGAAAAGAGTATGGAGGTTCCTCAAAAAATTAAAAATAGAACTACCAAATGGTCTAGTAATTCCACTACTGCGTATTTACCCAAAGAAAACAAAAATGCTAATTCAAAAACATATGCATCCTTATGTTTACTGCATTATTTATTTATTATTTTTTTAAATAACATATAATGTATTATTTGTTTCAGGGGTACAAGTCTGTGATTCATCAGTCTTACACAATTCACAGCGCTCACCACGACACATACCCTCCCCAATGTCCATCACCCAGCCACACCATCCCTCCCACCCCCGTCCACCCCAGCAACCCTCAGTTTGTTTCCTGAGATTAAGAGTCTCTTACGGTTTGTCTCCCTCTCTGGTTTCATCTTGTTTCATTTTTCCCTCCCTTCCCCTATGATCCTCTGTCTTGTTTCTCAAATTCCTCATATCAGTAAGATCATGATACTTATCTTTCTCTGATTGACTTATTTTGCTTAGCATAATACCCTCTAGTTCCATCCTCGTTGTTGCAAATGGCAAGATTTCATTTTTTGATGGCTATTGCAGCATTATTTATAATAGCCAAGATATAGAAGAAGCCCAGGTGCCCCATCATACTGGAATTTTTAAAATAAATAAGATGCAGATTTTTAAAAAGGCAGAAACAGACCCATAAATACAGAGAACAAACTGATGGTTGCCAGAGGAGAGGGGAGTAGGGAGATGAGCAAAATGGCTAAAGGGAAGTGGGAGATACAAGCTTCTAGTTATGGAACGAGTAAGTCATGGGGAAAAAAGTACAGCACAGGGAATATAATCAAAGGTATTGTAATAGCAATGTATGGTGACAGATAATAGCTACACTTGCAGGGTGCACAACATAATGTACAGATTTGCTGAATTACTATGTTGTAGATCTGAAACTAATGTAATATTGCATGTCAACTATACTTCAATTAAAAAAAGAAAAGAAAGGGCGCCTGGGTGGCTCAGTCGTTAAGCGTCTGCCTTCGGCTCAGGTCATGATCCCAGGGTCCTGGGATCAAGCCCCGCATCGGGCTCCCTGCTCCGCGGGAAGCTTGCTTCTCCCTCTCCCACTCCCCCTGCTTATGTTCCCTTTCTCGCTGTCTCTCTCTGTCAAATAAATACATAAAATCTTAAAAACTAAACAAAACAAAAACCTACACCAATATCCCTGACGAATACTGATGCAAAAATTGTGAACAAAATCCTAACAACCTGAATTCAACAGCATATTAAAAGGACTATATACCATGGCCAAGTGGGATTTATATGTTGAATCATAGGAAAATCAATAAATGTAAGGCTCTACATCAACACAATGAAGGACAAAAATCATATGACCATCACAGATGCAGAAAAAGCATTTGACAGAATTCAACACACTTTCATAAGAATACTAAACAAACTAGGAATAGAAGGATATTCTCTCAAAATAATAAAATTCATATATGAAAAGCCCACAACAACTAACCACATAGTCAACAGTGAAAAACTGAAAGCTCTTCCAAGATCAGGAACAAGGCAAGGATGATTGCTCTCACCACTTCTATTCAACAGATGTCCTAGCCAGAGT